TGCTCCGAAAGAAATTGCCTTGAGCAAGGTCTCACAGGTCTCAAGAGCTTTGGGCTCCCAGGTCTCAGCACCCTCCTGAACACGCGGTCGTTGAACTCCTCGACTTCGAATCGATCGAAAAAACAAGGTTCCAAGGGACCGTTGTCGTGGGCGGTCAAACCCACCAGCCGGTAGCCGGCACGTTGCAAGTGGCTGAGGACCTTGAAAACACGAGGGTTGCGCCAGAGGTTGTGGGGTAGGCCCCATGATCAGTCGAAAAGGAGTTGACTACCATAGTTGATACGGAGGTGGTCTATGTTTCCAACCGATAAATGCGTGCTTTTCCTTCTGCAAATGCTTCATAATATCAATCTGCCTGTCCACTGATCCATGGATCCAAAATCTCCGTTCTTGCTTGCACTGACAACAGCAAGTCCACTTCCTGCAATTCACATCTAAGCATCCAAACCCCAAACACTCCCGAGGCCCAGTGGAAAGACTTTAGGCATCGAAGTCCCAGACATCAGTCGATATGCAAATCCTTTACACCAAAATACGATGGGTGCATGAAAATCTGCACCAAGAAAGGACCCTGTTGTTTTCACATCGAAACAGATCAGCACCTGGCCTCTTTGGCCTCCATCGTCGGAGGCGCCACCAGCACGCAGCGATGGGCACCGGCGCCTCCGCGGTCGGTGCCGCGTCTTCTGGTGGAGGTCGGTAGGTCTGTACATGGATGCTGGTGAGCTTCCATCTGCTACATGGATGTCTCTGAGTGTGGGAGTGAATGCTGTGGATATCTTTGGGTGTTCGGTGGTCAGCCCGGCATCTTGTAGCTTCCGGTTCGGGTAAGGGATCAAAATAAAAATAAAAATAGAATCAAAAAAATATATTCAACGGGGATCAATAAAAAAATAAAAAGGTAATCAAAAAATAATATTCTAGCCCACTGAGGATGGTTGGGGTAGTAGTAGTAGTAGCAGTAGCAGTAGCAGTAGCAGCAGCAGGGGATAAACGAATGATCAAAACAAACAATGCCCTCAAAACCATGGACATGCTATGATTGGCGTGTCTGCGCCAACAACACATTAGCAGACGAAGTCAACAGAAAAGAACAGGATCAAAACAATTACCTCACGATGCTAGACTACAATTTCTGTAAGACAGTTGTCTCTGAGTGGACCAATAGGAGACGAAGGGAAGAGGATGGAAGAGGTAGGGGACTAGGAGAGTGTACCTCCCCAGGAGCTCCCTCCTAGTAGGGAGCTATTTCCACTGGTGAACCATTTTTCGAGTAGTAGGGCTACTCAATGACTGGACGGCTACCTTATCGTTGGGTACCTACTTTCTTCCCAGGGAGCTGCCTCTAGTAGAAAGCAATCAAGCCTCTATTTGCGCAAGCAGGGGACCAGGAGATCGACAGACGAGCGCCGTAGGAGAGCAAAAGACCAGCGGACCAGGAGACAGAAGGACTAGGATACCAGGGGACCAGCGGACCACAGGACCAGAGGACCAGGAGACCGGAGGACTAGGGGACCAGTGGACTAAAGGACCAAGGGACCAGGGGACCAAGGACCAGTGGACCAGAGGACCAAGGGACCAAAGGACCAAGGGACCACATTACCAGAGGACCCGCAGACCACAAGGCCACGAGAGCAGCAGAAGAGGCCTATCAAGGAATATATGTTTTTTGCTTCGCTTTTTTTTATTGTTTATCCTGTGTTTTTTTGATGCTCTTTTTTTTTGATACCTATGCCTTCCGGTTCTACATTCCACCAAAAGTACCCACGAGAAGAAAGCCAATATCTGTAGCAAGTGCACGTAGACCAGTTTGACAAGCGCAGCCGAGAAGTCTTTCATCTGAGAAATCCAACTGTGGGTACCAGGTACCTGTACCCATCCCCAAAGTCATGTCAAAATGGTCTTTCAGATCCTCCAGTTCAGCACTCTTTGACGGACGAGCGGTTTCATCGCCTGAAGAATCGGTTTCACCGCTCGGTCGCATTGGCCGCTCCGAGCAGTCCAACGAATGGAAGGGCGACGTCAAACACTGTGAACAGATCGCGTGGACCACCCGACACATATTTCTTTCCCTCCCCAAACATATGCCAAATAAGGGATCCCTCATAATGGCCGAATGTAAGACCCCGGCTCTGACCATCGGCTAGAAGTAGGTGGAGAATCCCAGTTTCCAGCCCACCATTTTCAAAAAAAGTTTCTTCGGCCCACCTTCCAGCCCAGAGAGCTGGATGGCCTGGCAAGACGCGAGATAGATGGACCTTCTCAAGATCTTCGAAAACACTTGGAGTCCATCTCCTCGGGAATTTTCTCCTCCCCATCTGCTCGCGTCGCCCGCGGGGCCGCGCCAGTCGGCAGTCGGAGGCCTTCTGGGCCTTGCCAAGGGTCAGCCCCACGGACACCAGGGCTCCAATGCCCAGAAGGCTACAAAGGCAGAAGGTAGCACCAACCTCGACCACTCAAGGGATTGAAAGAAGAAGGTGGAATCACTGACCGGGCCCCCAAAGAAGGAGAGTGGATGCAAAAATGAAACAAAGAAAACACGGATTCCCCAATATCCAATTTTGAGGTTTTCGTTCTGGAAGCTTATCATCAGTAGTGTTGCAAGGTTTGGAGTGTTTTCCTTCGTGCTGCTGGATGCTCTCTCTCTCTCTCTCTCTCGTAGCAGAAGCTGCTAGCCAGTTCTAGGTTCTGACCTCCTAGGAACACAACTTCTTTACGCACTGGCTATACAGCAGGCTCACCCAGGTGAGCAGGTCCCCCACCGGGCGCCCCCGACATTGCCCGGCCGCGCGCCGCACAGCACCAAGCAGGCTGGACAGGACCGCGGGCCGCGATCCAAGAAGCCTCGACCGGACGCGTTGGACGCGGGCGGAACGGCGCGTCCTGTCGACCCCACACTACCGGTCTCCATTGAACACCCACTGGAAGCGCTAGGAAGGAAGCTGGGCAAGTGTCAAATGTGCAGACCTTGATTCAATCCAAAGTCTGTTGGAGGAAAAGCCAAGCAACCAAAGAAGTGGGTCGGGACTCCGGCAGCAAAAAGCATCTGGGAAGCCCACTTCAACATCACTAGGGTGAAAACTAGTGATAAGGCCCTTGTTACTAGTAGCGATGCCAGGAGCTACTAGTAGCGTCCTTGCTCCTAGTAGCGATGCCCTTTGTTCCTAGTAGCTTCTGATTCCTAGTAGCAGTAAACACCGCGCACAGGGTCCCTCACCTGACCAACCTTCTTCAAAAGGAAGCTCGTCCTCCTCACATCGTTAGAGTCAGCACGACGGAGTCCAAGGGTCGTCTGTGTGGCTTCCCACAAGCGAGTGGAATGAAGTCCATCCAAAGCAAGGGCGACCCTCAAGTCACCCCAATAGGCTTTACAACCTCATTTAAAAATGCACCATGTGGTACCAGGTACCCTTGGTCATATTCCATTGATGCAACCGGTGAGTGGGGAAAGCTCTGTCTTCAGGAAGCTCCTGAGAGGAGGACTTTGCCGGCCGTCTGCTGCTTGGCCTTGGAAATACCAAAAATGCCCATCGCCTTCGGTAGTCCACACCGTTTGGTGCCCCAAAAAGGGAATGACCGTTGCAGACGCTTTGCGTCGTATCACAGCAAGAGTTTCTAGAGAGATAAGAAGAAAGCCACCCAGCTGATCAGAGGCAATAACAATCAATGTCTCTGAATACATCCACCCTGAAGTCCTGAAGAGAATCAGATCAGAACTGACACTTGTTTGCTGACTGCTCAGTCGCAAGCAAACGTAGTGCTCCTCACAAGGCTATCTGCAGACGGTTTCCACAGCAGAAAGACAGGAGAGAAGATTCTTCCAAGTGATTCAAGTCAGTTGCTTGAGGACCAATGCCTCACGCATCTCTAAATGAAGACCTCATGCTGCGATCCTTTTCACAAGCCTGTCACAACCCTGTCACAACTTCACAGCTTTGCCCAAACAAAGAGAAGGCCTTCACAGCTCTGTAGATGGAGTGATGACACTCTTGGGCAATGCTCCCCGGAGCTTGGAAAATAAGTCGATATACTGTGTATACATATATATATATATATGTTTGTTTAATATACTCCGCCTTCCGCACCAACCATGTCTCCTAGCTTCCAACCAAGCTCACTAGCTTTGACCACTAGACTCCAACAGCTCACATGCCTTGACCAGGCCTCCACTGACAGCAGAACCTGCTGAGCCCAGAACAACCTGGGGCACCTGCAGGCCGCCCAAGGAGCGGAAGTCTTTGAGGCGTTTCAATCCCTTTGAGGAAAATACAAAGATTTTACGTAGAAAAAAGATAGAAGATTTGTACACTCCAGCACCTCCAAAAGCAGGATTTGTTGTAAATCCTGCTGTGGAAGAGTTGTTGAAACAAAAACAGGATTTGTTTGCGAAACACGTGGGTGTCCCTGAGCTCGACCGCTCAAGGCTGTCCCAGAGCGGCCTCCAGGGACAGGCATGACTTGCTGATGGTGAGCAAGGTCAAGAGGATCTTCATTGGCAGCAAAAGCCCGGAATTGATGCGAGTGTGTCCTCCTATTGGGCCAAGCTGTGTTCCAGACATCGTCATCGATGTCACCTAACGATCCAAGAGGCGAATTGAATGCAACACAGGTTGAACGGTTGAACTGGATCTTCGATATTCCAATTCAGCAGAGAGACTTTGATCAGAACCTGGGGTTGCTATACGGCTACTATTTTATGACCAAAACAATTAGCCACAACGGCTGCATTGCCATCAAAATGTAGCTGCTCCATGTATTGCCGGATGGGGTCAAAAGACGACAAGGTCACGTGCTTCTGGCAAGTTTCGACACATCTTTGAACGTCATAACTCATTAATGTCATGTTCATGCACCTCAAAATCACGCGACCTTGAAGTACCTAGTGACTCTGAGAGAGCATGATGTGGATGGGATAGGCCGATTGAAGGAAAAAGCCGGATCACTGATCACTCACCCTTTTTCGTTCGCCAAACCTCAAGATCACAACTTCCATGCTGCCCTCAGTTCAGAAGGATACCGTCGTACTTGGTCTGGAACCATTTCATGCCATCCTCCTTCTTCAGCTTGTGGGATGCGCCCACCTTGCCCACCTTCAACTTGCGGTTCTTCACTCGGCTGCCAGGGCGAGAAAGGTGCACGTAGAAATCCATGCCGTAGATGCCGGTGCCAGGGTCATACTTGATGCCCAGGTCAATGTGCTCCTAATCATGCCAAGTGTGCAGAACTTCAACCGGCAGTGATGCAAATCAAGAACAAATTAATCACATGCATTTATCTTCATCCAGAAACTTCTTGAAAACCATCGAAGGTTCAAGCAAATCTTGACCTAAGCGCTATGCTTCTGAGAGCTGTACTGGATTTAGTCCAAGCTTCGGTGATGCCAAAGCCAAAGCTGCCGTTCCTGGCGAAGTTCTTCTTTCGCAGCTCGTACTCTTTCACCTTCAAGCCCTTCTCCAGAATCTCCTAAAGATTGAGCAGTTTTGACAATTCACAAACACCTGTCCGTTTCTGCCGCTTCTGTCCAAGACAACTGCATCCCCTTCACTCCTCGGCCTTCTCTCCCCGAACTGTCACGTGGCAAGCAATCTTCTCATTGCGGCGGACGCTCCACTGACGAATGGTCATGCGGGCCTTCGAAAACACTGGCTGCTGCTCTGTCAGCTGCTCCTCAGTATCATTGTGTCATATTGCTTCTATAGTGCAATCAAAACAATGCATGGCAAACATGTCAAGCCTGTCGATCTAATATGCAGGAACACAGGAACAATCCATAGAACCCGTCTTTCCGACTCTGCTCTGCCAAGGATCTAAAACCTTTGCTGCTCGGGTGAGTCTGTCACCACTTTCACCCACACTGATGTTGAGCACCAACTTCTCCACCCGAATCTGGCGCATGGGGTTCCTCAGGCGATTTTTTCACCCAGTTCCACCCAGTCCACCGCGGTTCCAGATTCTTAGGAAGATTCTTAGGAAGCCCCTACCACGAACAATCCATCTCAGTTGGAAACAAGTCCGAGAATACGTCTGTCCAGTGTCCACGAATCCGTCTGCTCCCCCTCTTCGTGAAACGGGGCGAATCCGTCTGTCCCTCCAAGTTTCGGACATCTACATGTGCCATCATTGGGAGGTTCCTGAGGTTCCAGCATCCCCGATGGATCTCAGTCTTGCCTCCTGGATTCGTCCAAGGTCCGAAGATCAATGTCGTCCTTTGAGTCCTCTGTGGGTTTTCTGATTCCTGTGCTTTGTGATTCCCTCTATTCCTGGGTTTGAACATTCGGTGCTTCTTTCTTCTTGGGATGCCTATCATCCTCAGATCTCCTCACACTTCAGATCGAACTCTTCCCCGAAACCTTCCATTCCCCTGAACTCATTTGCCCCCGAACTCGAGGAAAAGAAAAGAAAAAACGCCACCCGCCCAAACACCCCGCCAGGCGGCTCCGACTTGTCCGCCATGACCGGAAACCCGCTTCGTCCCCCCTTTCTTTCGGTCTCTTGAGGTCGCGATGTCCCGCTTTTGAGCCGAGAATGTTTTGTTGACGGAAACTGAAAGACCCAAAAGACCAGGGCCCAAGGGGGCCGGGACTGGACGGCCGATGGTTTTTGCTGAAACAAAGACATCCGGAGGTGACGAAATCGTCTGGCCGGCCGAATCCGAGATGAAATCTGTGTCCCAAGATGGATAAGGAGCCAGCCACTCAGTGTACAAGGGAGCCAAAATACTGTTTTGGCTTGGGTGATTTCCTTTGTTGAACATTCAAAGAACTGCATGATAAATAGACAAGAACATTTCTCTGCAGACAATGCCTGCAGTGGTGTATTGACCTTCTCATAAAGTACTTGCTCTCTGAAAGGAAGGTTGCTGCAATTAACACTACTTGCAAAAACTTGCACACACGGGACACACGGTGAATTTAGCTACTGAAGTCATGGAATCTATTTCAACTACACTTCCAAACCTAATTACATCAACGGCCAAACGATTGACTTGACAAATAACTGTGTTGATCGGAAATGAATGTCAGACCATTGCCAAGCTCCTGATCCACGGTCACATATCTCAATGTCTTTTCGTTCGCCAAACCTCAAGATCACAACTTCCATGCTGCCCTCAGTTCAGAAGGATACCGTCGTACTTGGTCTGGAACCATTTCATGCCATCCTCCTTCTTCAGCTTGTGGGATGCGCCCACCTTGCCCACCTTCAACTTGCGGTTCTTCACTCGGCTGCCAGGGCGAGAAAGGTGCACGTAGAAATCCATGCCGTAGATGCCGGTGCCAGGGTCATACTTGATGCCCAGGTCAATGTGCTCCTAATCATGCCAAGTGTGCAGAACTTCAACCGGCAGTGATGCAAATCAAGAACAAATTAATCACATGCATTTATCTTAATCCAGAAACTTCTTGAAAACCGTCGAAGGTTCATGCAAATCTTGACCTAAGCGCTATGCTTCTGAGAGCTCTACTGGATTTGGTCCAAGCTTCGGTGATGCCAAAGCCAAAGCTGCCGTTCCTGGCGAAGTTCTTCTTTCGCAGCTCGTACTCTTTCACCTTCAAGCCCTTCTCCAGAATCTCCTAAAGATTGAGCAGTTTTGACAATTCACAAACACCCGTCCGTTTCTGCCGCTTCTGTCCAAGACAACTGCATCCCCTTCACTCCTCGGCCTTCTCTCCCCGAACTGTCACGTGGCAAGCAATCTTCTCATTGCGGCGGACGCTCCACTGACGAATGGTCATGCGGGCCTTCGAAAACACAGGCTGCTGCTCTGTCAGCTGCTCCTCAGTATCATTGTGTCATATTGCTTCTATAGTGCAATCAAAACAATGCATGGCAAACATGTCAAGCCTGTCGATCTAATATGCAGGAACACAGGAACAATCCATAGAACCCGTCTTTCCGACTCTGCTCTGCCAAGGATCTAAGACCTTTGCTGCTCGGGTGAGTCTGTCACCACTTTCACCCACACTGATGTTGAGCACCAACTTCTCCACCCGAATCTGGCGCATGGGGTTCCTGGAAACTGCATTGCATGAAGGCAATAAAATCGCAAAGGTAAAACACTGTTCATTGCCAATTGAGGTGATTGTTGAGAACTCTCAAGCAGTCGATAACATAACTGCAAGTCAATAAGCAACGCCTATATCCACCAGTACAGAAATAGGAACCATCAAACTCTTTGAGCGAACGCCCCTGCACTGTTCCGGTCTGCTGGTTTGGTGAGGGGTTGTTTTTATTTGTAGCCAGGTTTCTCGGACTTGTCCGCCATGTTGAAGGGCCACGTCCCACCGTGCGGTTTGAGGGTGCGAATCCCGCTTGATCCCAGGCCGCAACGAATGGAAGATGCTAAAAAACGCAGCTCCAGGTTCGGCAATTGAAGCTTGAAAACCTGAGGGAGTTTCGGCCGGAGAATACACTCTTTTGCATGGACTCCGAACAGGATGGTGCAACCCACGAATGTCAGTGAAGTCTACAAAGGGCGACTGACGTGCCAAAAGCACACCAATCAACAGCCACTCGTGGAAAAACCCAGCACTGCTGACTGGGCCACGCGAGAGGCAAAAACCCAAAACCCGCCGACACCAGCACGTGAGCAGGGTAAGAACCACTTTGGGCGAGTAATCTTAGGAAAATGGAAAGCAGAATTCCTTAAAAGGAATGTCTACCACAAAGGAGTCAAAAGGGGAGAAAGAAAGAAAGAACCTCCGGCTCAACTGGAAGAGTCGGCAAGCTCTGTTCTCCGGCGGAGAACTGCGCGCGCCCTGTGGCTACGGATGACAACGGACAGTTCTTGCAGGAGGTCTGCATGGAGGGCAGCAGCATCCTCCCCAGCTTGAGCTGCCGTGCTCGGGGAAAGTTGCAGGAGCAGTTTGCTGGCTTCGGGCTCCCAGGCGCCCGTTGACTCGGCCACAACCGGCATGAAGTGGACCCCTTGCTGTGCGCAAAGAGTGGCTGTGTTCAGGTGGGAGGCCTTCGTGGCAGCACAGCTGGTTGCCGCTGCCAAGGATGTTGCTCCAGCCAGCGCTACGATGTCTTGCCGCTGTGGGGCTGTGATGGCCAGGTCAAGTGCAGCAGGAACACCGTTGAAGCTGGGTAGGAAAATATCCGCTGGGCGGCGATGTTGGTTTGCAACCTCTTCTGGTCGCTGAGCAGCAGCCCGCGCGCTCTTTCTCGGTTGCTTCCAGGACCGCCAGTCGGTGGCGTAGCTCGGCCACAAAAAGGGCACTGTCCATCTGAGTCGGCCCTCCAGGTCTTGCAGCAAGGAATGCGCGGGCTCCAGGTTCAGCTTCGGACCGGAGAAGGGCTTGGGCAGTTGGGGCTGAGGCTCCGAGTTGTGCCTGCCACGATGCCTCATCTACCAAGTGCGTCAAACTCTTCTGCTGCATGCTAAGGGCAGCTCCAGGGGCCAGAGGGTGCTGCACATGCACGTTGAAGAAAGCCATTGCCTGTGCAACGGCCGACTCCAGGACCACGGCAGCGGCTAGGTAACCCGGGTCCAGTTGCTCACAAGCAAGGGCTGTGCTTCCTTCGGAAGCGAGGAAGGCAGCCGGACTGTCCAAGGTCGCGCTGCGAAGAGCCCCCGGCTAGCTTGTTCACGTTGGGCGGAGTTCAGATGCAAGCCGGTGATGCTGGAGAACGCCGCGTGAACCATGGAATTGTGAAAACACGGAAGCGTAAGCGTCCCCTTTTTGATCCCGCTCCTTGAGCCAAACATCACAGTCGGTTTGACTGTATCAATGTCCTTCATCTCTTCTTCTGAAGAGGTCTGACTGGTCGCAGTCGTCCAAAACATATTAAAGAACAAGAAAGCATATCAAAACACTCTCACAAGCTATTCTCTACTATACACAGCTCTACCCGAGCTCCACAGATCTCTACACGACCGACGAGATTCTCGCAATCGACCTCGTTCTCCACCACGGACCCGCTCCAGACAAAGCAGGGCAATTCGGACACCACGTTCCACCGACCAACACACACCACCCAACTCTACACGGCCCAACTCGGATCGAGCCTCCTCTGCAGCCCCGGCACTCGTTCTTCGCCCCGGTCCTGGCGATTTTCCACATTCACTTCCCACACCCCCGGACTCCTCCACACCCATCTCACGCCCTACCACACCCCCACAACCTTTTCAACAATCCCCTCCACCGTCCCAGCCACCATCCTCCTCACTTTCCAATCCTGAAGCTGAAGAACTTCGTCAACTACGTTATCAAATCCAACAACAGGCAGCTCAACACCAACTCCAACAACATGCAATTTCAGCCGCAACTTCTCCTCCACTCTCAATGGGCACCCTTTCTCCAACCTTTCCCCTTCTACATTCCACAATTCGACCCCTCCACCCAGACCTTCACCACTCCCACACCATCTTGACTGGAGACCACTACCTTGAGTGCCAATCCAACCGCGCCCACTGAGCCGCCCAACCCCTCCCCACGTACAACCACTGCGGAACCAGACGACTTCTCCATATCTCTTTTCGCCACCACAACCATCCACCAACACCACCAACCCCGCTCCTGAAGCTTCAGACCCTCGCACCTCACGGCGCACAGAACGACCCATCACCCCTCCAACTTGCGGGCTTCGCTGGAAAGATCACACCACACTGCCACACCGTTTGGAACAATCTGGTCTTTTGGTGTATTTGATGGGCAATTTGGCCGAGATCCGCCTCAGTCCTGGTCCTCAGCAGCACATTTGGACCACACCTCTCTGGTTTCACATTCGCCCTATTGGTACTCTCGACCTTTCAGCGGTTGCAGTGAGAGCAGCTTCCACCAGAGCCCCACTGAGGAAAGCTTTGAAGGCTGTGAGCTGGAAGGAGGCGGGCTGCCTTCAGCACTTCTTGTGTGCGTTGGTACATCAGAGTTGCCTTGCCTAACCCTAGGGATTCCCATTTCTGACAAGGGTCTTGCGTGAACGAGAATAGGGTGGCAACCTCGTGCACGCCCGTAGTGCATCCTGAGGCCACAGCAAAACTCTTATCCAAAACAACGTCTGCTGGGAGAGCGATGGTCCATAGACTTGACTGTCTCCGACTGGTGGGCATGTGCAGTGAGTGCGGTGGAATGTCACCCTCCAGCGCCCCGCCCCGAGGCCTCCACAATTGATTTGGAAGACTGAGGGCAGTGGTGGG